CAAATGTTGGAGAGGTTGCAGGGAGATTAGAACTCTTATGCACTGCTGGTGAGAATGCAAAATGGTACAAGCATTTTGGAAAACGATATGGTGCTTCGTTAAAAAGCTATAAATAGGTACCATATGATCCAGCAATCCTGCTCCTTGGAATATATCCTAGAGAAATAAGAGCTGTCACACGAATAGATATATGCACACTCATGTTCACTGCAGCACTGTTCACGATAGCAAAAAGATGGAAACAACATAGGTGCCCATCAACAGACGAATGGATAAACAAATTATGGTATAGTCACACAATGGAATCCTACGCAACAATAAAGAACAACGATGAATCCAGGAAACATAACATGGAGGAATCTGGAGGGCATTATGTTGAGTGAATTTAGTCAGTCACAAAAGGGCAAATATTGTACAAGACCACTATTATAAGAACTCCATAAAAGGCTTAAACACAGAAGAAAACATTCTTTGATGGTTACAAGGGTAGGAAGAGAGGGAGAGGGGTATTCACTAACTAGACAGTAGACAAGAATTAGGTGAAGGGAAGGACAGCACACACTACAGGGGAAGTCAGCATGACGGGACTAAACCAAAGCTAAGAAGTTTCCTGAATACACAACCAAACACTTCAAGGGACAGAGTAGCAGAGGCAGGGGTCTGGGGACCATGGTTTCAGGGGACATCTAGGTCAACTGGCATAACAAAGTTTATTAAGAAAATGTTCTGCATCCCACTTGGTTCAGTGGCATCTAGGGTCTTAAAAGCTAGCGAGCAGCCATCTGAGAAGCATCAATTGGTCCCAACCCACCTGGAGCAAAGGAGCATGAAGAACACCAAAGACACAAGGAAAGTATTAGCCCAAGAGACAGAAAGGGCTACATAAATCAGAGACTTCATCAGCCTGAGACCAGAAGAACTAGATGGTGCCCAGCTACCACCAATGACTGCCCTGAGGGAACACAACAGAGAGTACCTGACGGAGCAGGAGAAAAGTGGGGTGCAGAACTCAAATTCTAGTAAAAAGACCAGGGTTGGTGGTTTAATTGTGACTGGAGGGACCCCAGAAGACATGGCCCTCAGACTCTCTGTTAGCCCAAAACTAAAACCATTCCCGAGGCCAACTCTTCAGACAAAGATTAGACTGGACTATGGAACATAAAATAATATTCGTGAAGGGTGTGGTTCTTAGCTCAAGTAGATACATGAGACTAAATGGGCAGCTCCTGTCCAGAGGTGAGATGAGAAGGCAGAGAGGGCCAGGAGCTGGCTGAATGGACACGGGAAATCCAGGGTGGAAAGGAAGAGTGTGCTGTCACAGTATAGGGAGAGCAATTAGGGTCACATAACAATGTTTGTATAAATTTTTGTATGAGAGACTAACTTGAATTGTAAACTTTCAGTTAAAGCACAATAATAAAAAAAAAAAAAAACTATAAATAGGAATACCATACAATCCAGCAATCCCACTCCTAGGAATATATCCTAGAGAAATAAGAGCCATCACATGAATAGACATATACACACCCATGTTCATTGCAGCATTATTCACAATAGCAAAAGATGAAAACAACCTAAGTGCCTATCAGCAGATGAATGGATAAACAAATTATGGTACATACACACAATGGAACACTACACAACAACAAAGAACTATGATGAATCTGGGAGATGTTTCACAACATGGGTGACTCTGGAGAGCATTCTGCTGAATGAAATAAGTCAATCGCAAAAGGGCAAATACTGTATGAGACCACTATTATACAAACTCATGAAAATGTTTCCACACAGAAAGAAACAATCTTTGATGGTTACGAGGGAGGGGAAGGTGGAGTGGGAAAAACACTAACTAGATAGTAAATAAGTGGTAACTTTGGTGAAGGGTAAGACAGTACACAATACTGGGGAAATCAGCACAACCTGACCAGGGCAAAGTCATAGAAGCTTCCCAGAGACACAAAACACCCTGAGGGACTAAGCTACTGGGCTAAGGGCTGGGGACCATGGTCATGGGGGCTATCCAGCTCAACTGGCATAACATTGTCTAAATAAAGAAAATGTTCTACATCTGACTGTGGTGAGTAGCATCTAGGGTCCTAAAAGCCTGCAAGCAGCCATCTAAGATACATCTACTGGTCCCATCCCAGCTAGAGCACAGGAGAATAAAGAGAAACAAAGACCCAGGAGAAAAGATTAGTCCAAAGGACTAATGGACCACAACTACCACAACCTCCACCAGACTGAGCCCAGAAAAACTAGATGGTGTCAGGTTACCACCACCAACTGCTCTGGCAGGGATCAGAATAGAGGGTCCCGGACAGAGCAGAAGACAAATGTGGAAAAAAATTCAAATTCATACACATACACATACAAAAAAAAGACCAGGCCTGCTGGTCAGACAGAGACTGGAGAAACTCCAAGAGTATGGCTCCTAGACACCCTTTTAACTCAGCACTGAAGTCGCTCCTGAGGTTCACTCTTCAGCCAAAGATTAGACAAGTTTATAAGGCCAACAGTAATATAGGTGAGGAATGTGCTTCATAGTTCAATCATGTATTCAAGACTAAAGGGCACACCAGCTCAAAAGCAAAGACAAGAAGGCAGGAAGGGACAGGAAAACTGGTCAAATGGAAACAGGGAACTCGGAGTAGAGAAGGGGAGAGTGTGGACACCTTGCAGGGTTGGCAACCAATGTTACAAAACAATTTGTGTATTAACTGTTTAATGAGAAACTAATTTGCTCTGTAAACTGCACAATAAAAAATAAATAAATAAACCAAATAAATAAATAGATTTAGAAGGAAAAAAAAGTCAAAGTTAACTGCTGATGAAAGTAGAACAGGAATGAGTTATATACTAAATTAATCCTAAAAGTTTTCCTCTGCCCTCTCATCTCTCAATAAGTCAAGATTCTTTAAGTAATGACTTTGCAATAATAATTCTTATGTTGTCCTCTACATAACATAGAGGAAAATCTACGGCTTTTGAATGAGACAGATCTGAATCCCAAATCTTACACTTGCTAGTTAGTTAACTTCCCTGAACCTTTAAGATTGCATTTATCATGGAGGCTAAAAAAATATACACTTACCATAAAGTAGACATTTCGTAAGTGTTAGTTTCCTTCTTCAAAACAATATATGGCCTCAGGATTCTGTGCCACATAAACTATTTACAAGCTACCCACGCTGCTTTTCCAGAACCCTGAAACTTCTTTCTGTCTTCTTTTAAGCATAATGTTCAAAACCAGGATCTGGTTTCTGGATGTGAAAACAGTTGTTGAATTTGTAAAAGATTTCCCATCTTCTACAATTTATCTTCATCCGGCCAGTGTACTGAAGCCAAAGGGCCATTAAGATGCCAATCTTATCAAATTGCCTTTACTTCTTTATGTACCCAAAATGTTTACTTCATCACTGCCAACTAAATATTTGTACAGTTACAAATCCTATTCTTACTTCATCTAGTGTCATTTGGGAAGACTGCCATAAAGAAAGAAAATTTCAGAGTACAACACATTCAGATGCTGTATTTTCAAGGCAGAATTCTATGTTCTAAGGAGATGTTCTAATGCTTCAATCCAGAGTAAATTTGGTCCGGTTATAACAGAATTGTGGAATGCCTGTGAACTTTTAAAAGTTCCCAAAATTCCAGTAGTTTCAGTAGTACAGACAGACACTGAGTTCTAGCAACTGAGACAGAAAGGGAATACAATCAGAAGATGATAATCTCCTTTTACACTTAAAAGTCAAAAGTTCATGTAATACAAAAGCTCTATGCTGCCTTCCTTAGATTTTTTAAATTAGTGAGTTCAAATAAGTGGTTCTAAAAGGCACATATGAGAACAACATAAAGAAAAACAAAACAAAAAGAATATTTACATACACTGGAAATTTCTTCTGAACACTGTCTATGAGGTGCCATAGAACCACCTTATAAGTAATATGGGTCTCATCAATAAAGCAAACAAATTTCACTTTATTTCTTTAGTAACTAAACTCTCTTGATCCAAGAAGATATCCACATTATAGTAAACATTGCTCTTTTACAAATGCTGTCACAATAAGGTTTTAAGACATCTCAATAAAATCCTCCTGGTTCCTAAAAGTAATCAGTGGGTGACAGCTCAATTTACAAACCCCATGGCATATTTCAAATTATAGTCAGATACCATCAAATATTACAAGAAAAATACTGTTTCACTTTCCCTTAATCAAAGCCTGATTAAATTTCTTTTTATTTTTACTAGATTCTTATAAATTTCCATCGGTTATAAAATTCTATTAATTGTTTCACTAATGCTAGAAAATCCTTAATATTAAAGGTATCATTTTTATTCCCCAACTTTTCCTGGCTCAATTCCTAAGAAAAGGATTACTTTTAACTTACATGTTATTCTCCTAGTAGTTAAAAATGCCTATAAACACATTTTGCTAATTTTGTAAGATTACTACTGAATTGTCTTTTTTTTTTTCTAAAAAGCACATTTTAGACAAATAACAGAGTATACTACTGAGAGAGGCAATTTAGCATAGTAATTAAAAGTGCAGATTCTGAATTCCTATAGCTCTATATATTTGAGCCCAGGCTCTGCCACTGCCATTCACAGCTGTATGACTGAGGCAAGTTACTAATCTCTCTCTCAGCTTCCCTATCTATAAAATTATAGATAATAATAGTACCTACATCATGAGACTGTGAAGATAAAATTCTCTGTAGAAAGGATAGCACAGTGACAGACACATAGTGTTCGATAAATGTTAGTTGTTATTATTCCACTAAGATAATAAATCTATTCTTTTGTATTATAACAGGAGACAAGAATTTCGTAAAACTCCACGTGCCGATAAAAAATAACACAGTGGCTAAAATTGGATTAGGACATCACTATATTGTGATATTAGGTTGTAGATCCTAAAATAGATGGTACCCCAATACTCACCTCCAATGAGGCTCTTGACCTAATTCAGAGTCTACTGAGAAATAAAAAGGCCACTTACTGTTCACTGCAACCCACTCATTTAAATCTTCCCCCTCAGGAAGCATGACAGCCATCCGGAGGTTGCCACTGCCAAGTGTGGCTTCTGCATGCTTTAAGAGTTCATATTGATGAGAACCCTCTGGAATGTTCTTCTTTGGTTTAAAAGTTTTAGAGGAGCGACTTCCACTATGAATGGAAAAGAGAAAAAAAAAAAGGCATTTCAATATTTAAGGCATGACCTTCAACAGAGTCTACTATATTATCTTACTGAATAAAACAGAAGTGATGGTCAATGTCCCCAAATAAACAGCAAATATACTTCCAATCCCCATCAGCATCAGACAGAAGCTATATTAGTACTTTAAATTCTGGCAATATAATTGTAGTAGCTATTGTGTTCAGCACCTAAAATGCCTACAAACCATTTCTACATCCCCTACTGTAACTTCAAAGGGGAAAAATAATTTTCAGCAGCCTGTAACTAATTCAGCTTTTCACGGTAAATTAATGATTCATGATTACAGATTATAATTTACAAAAACAAGAGTACTTCTGTGATTTTTAGTTATTTTCTTTCCTTTTCACCCCTATTCTAAGTCTTTTACTAACACAAACAAATTTGCTTCTTTCTTATAAGTGTAAAGATATAATAAAAAACACATAAATCCTACAGCAAGAAAGAATTTACATGGTCGTCTACCCAATTATAGGAAGCGCCTATAATTATATGAAGCAAGCTTAATCCCGAATTCTGGTTAAACAGATAAGTAAGTGGTTAGACATTACTGTGGTTGCCTTGCTGAAATTTCTGAATGTTTTTATAAATTTTAACTACACACACACATTTTAATGGATCAACTGAAACTAGGCTTAAAAATGGTTTTAAGAGTTTTTAGGAGATGAATTCTTCCATTGTGCTGGCATGTTCTTGTCAAATTATATTGTTATAAGTCACTCCTTCTCAACAGTCCCTTTCTTCTCTTCATATAAAGAGGAACAGGTGGGAAAGAAAGAATTAGAAGAGGCTGGGTAAATGGGAACGCTCTATAAAGTTTAATGTCACTAAATTCTTACCACCAAAAATGTTCAGACATTTGAATATATGAATATGAAAGTGAATTTCCAAAAAGAACAGATAAACAATAATTATACTTTCCAAGCTTTCCACAGCTTTTCACTCACTAGCTCCTTCTCCCAAGCTTACTCCCCAAGTTCCCTCCCTCTTGTCCCTAGTGGATATTTTAACAAGATGAAGAGGCGGGTATCCACCCTGGTGGTAATCACTTGAGGAGCTTTTAAAAAGTACTGAGGAGCAAAATCACAATGGAATACCACGTCACACCTGCTAGCATGGCTATTAAAAAAAAAAAAAAGCAAATAAATAACAAGTGTTGGCTAGGATGAGGAAAAATCAGAACTCATGTATTACCGGTGGGAATGCATAGTGGTGCAGCCACTGTGGAAAACAGTTTGGTGGTTCCTCAAAAAGTTAAACATAGAATTACCATATGACCCAGAAATTCCATTTCTAGATATATACCCAATAACTCAAAACAGGGTATCAAACAGATATTTGTATACCAGTGTTCACTGTAGCCTTATTCACAATAGCCAAAAGGTGGAAATAACTCAAATGTCTATCAACAGATGAAAGGATAAACGAAATGTGGTATACACATACAATGGAGTATTATTCATTCAGCCATAAAAAAGAATTGTTATGATACTTGCTACCATATGGATGAACACTGAAAACATTATGCTAAGTGAAATAAGCCAGGCACAAAAGGACAAATAGTGTGCAATTCCACTTACATGAAATAGCTAGAGTAGGCAAATTCAGAAAGGTCAGAGGTTACCAGGGGCTGGAGGGAGAGAAGGAGTCCCTGGGTGGCAAAAAAGGTTAAGTGCTGGGCTACTAACCAAAAGGCTAGCAGTCTGAATCTACTCAAAGGTGCCTCAGAAGAAAGGCCTGGCAATCTCCTTCTGAAAGGTCATAACCATGAAAACTCTACAGAGCACATTTTTACTCTGCAACACACGGGATTATCATGAGTCGTTATCAACTTGACAGCAACTGGTGGTTGGCTGTGGAGAGATGGGAATGGGAAATTAATGCGTATAAAGCTTCTGTTTAGGATGATGAAAAAGTTTTGGGTGTAGATAGTGAATGTAATTGATGCCACTGAATTGTATACTTAAAAATGGTTAAAATGTTTTGCAACAATAACTAAAAATAACGGAGGGGTTATAGATGCTGATACTAATTAGCCATAACCAAATACCTTATGGGAGTAGTTCTCTTGGTTTGGGGATTTAAGGCCATAGTCCCGTGGGATTATCCAGCCAACTGGCATTAATATAGTTCTTAAAGTTTATTTTCTAACTCCCAGTATGGTGAGTAGTGTCTAGGGTCTTAAAAGCTTACGAGCAGCCATCTAAGATAAAACTATTGATCGTTGTCATCTGGAATAAAAGAGAAAAAAGGAAACCCAAGAATCAGAGAAGGAACTGGACTAAATTACTAATTGTCTACATGAACCACTGCCTCCTCCACCTTGAGACCAGAAGAACTAGATGGTGCCCAGCTACCACTACTGAACACTATGATGTGGAAAATAACAGAGAAATTCTGATAAAAAGGAAGAAAAATACAGAACAGAACTTCAAATTCTTAAAGGATCCACACTTACTGGACCTACCATATTTTAACGCAAATAATGAGCACCTTCTACGTTTGTTTACCAATTGCGCCCTCCCCGAGTGAGGTATTTTAGTAAGCTTGCTATGCTAATTTTTTTACAGCAATATGTAAAAAAAAAAAAAATTAGCATAGTGGCACTTAAGTAAATACCTCGTAGGGGGAGTGTGCAGTTGGCAAACAAACATAGAAGGTGTATGTTTTTGCATAAAGATACAGTATTCAGTCTGGAGGAGTCACCAAGACTATGGCCCTGAGTTGTTCTTCAAACCCCGAACTGAAACTATCCCCTGAAGTCACCTTTAAAATAACAGTTTAGTCCAAAAAGTAAAGCCTGTCACCCTTTTGTATTATGTTACTTTAATATATATATATATATATATATATATATTATATAACACCAAAAGGTCAGCAGCTATTTTAAAGCATAGAGGAGAAAGTCGGGGGGCAGGCAGGTTAAGTAAATGGAACTGAAACTAGAACAGAAATAAGAGGATGCTGACACAATGTGAAGAATTTAACCAATGTCACTGATTATTATGTCTAGAAACTGGAATGGGAGTGGGTTTTGCTATGTATATTTTCACCGAAATTAACTTAAAAAAAAAAGCTATTTGAGACTACAGCCCCTGGACACCCTGCTAATTCAGAACTGAAGCCACTCCTGAACTCCACCTTTCAGCCAAAGATTAGACAGGCCCATAAAACAAACAACAACACACGTGACGAACATGCATCTTAGTTCAGTCAAGTATACGAGTCCAAATGAGCAACATCTGCCCAAAAGCAAAGATGAGTAGGCAGGAAGGGCCAGGAAACCTAGATGAATGAACACGGGGAACGCAGGGTGGAAAGGGAATAGGGGTGAGTGCTGATACGTTGCACAGATTGCAACCAATGTCGCAAAACAATTTGTGTATAAATTTTTGAATGAGAAACTAATTTGCACTGTAAACTTTTACCTCAAACACAATAAATTTTTTTAAAAGGTTAAAATGGCAATTTTTTTATTATATATACTTTACCAGTATTTAAAAAAAAAAAAAAAAGGTATTAAGGATCCTGAGATAAACTCAGTATCTAACCTTTTGGAAAAAAAACTCATTGCCGTCAAGTTGATTTGACAACTCATAGCAACCCTACAGGACAGAGCAGAACTGCCTCATTGGTTTCCAAAGTTATAAATCTTTCCACATTTTTCTCCTGCAGAGCAGCTGGTGGGTTTGAACTGCCCAACGCTTAACCATTGCACCAGCAGAGCTCCGTAAATACCTACCAACCCAAAACCCGTTGCCATCAAGTCCATTCCGACTCATAGCAATCCTACAGGACAGAGTAGAACTGCCCCACAGGGTTTCCAAGGAGCGGCTGGTGGATTCAAACTGCCGACCTTCAACGGACATAAAGAAGCTTGTTAAGAAAATATTCTGCATCCTACTTTGGTGAGTGGCTGCTGGGGTCTTAAAAGATTGCAAGCGGCCATCTAAGATGCATCAATTGGTCCTAACCACCTGAAGTAAAGGAGAATGAAGAATACCAAAGACACAGGGAAAGTATTAGCCCAAGAGACAGAAAGGGTCACATGAACCAGAGACTTCATCAGCCTGAGACCAGAAGAACTAGATTGTACCCGGCTACCAACAATGACCGCCCTGACAGGGAACACAACAGAGTCCCGGATGGAGCAGGAGAAAGGTGGGCTACAGAACTCAAATTCGAGTAAGAAGACCACAGTTAATGGTCTGACTGAGACTGGAGGAACCCTGGAAAGCACGGCCCCTAGATTCTCTATCAGCCTAGAACTAAAACAATTTCTGAGGCCAACTCTCCAGAGGGATTGGACTGGACTGTGGGACATAAAGTGATACTCGTGAGGAGTGTGCCTCTTAGCTCAAGAAGATACAAGAGACTAAACGGGCAGCTTCTGTCCAGAGGTGAGATGGGAAGGCAGAGAGGATTAGGAGTTGGCTGAATGGAAATGGGGAATCAGGGGTGGAAAGGAGAAATGTGCTGTCACAGTATGCAGAGAGCAATCAGGGTCACATAACAATGTATGTATAAATTTTTGTATGGGAAAAAATTTAAAAATTAAAAAAAAAAAAAACTGCTGACCTTTTAATTAGCAGCCATAGTTCTTAACTACTAGCCACAGTTCTTAACCACTATGTCACTAAGGCTCCAAATACCTAACAATAGATCCAAATATCTAATTCAAATGACAGCCATTTTCATTCTAATATACTGACTGTCATGCTCCTAAAAATATAGGTCTCTTCTCAGGTGTTTATAGTTAGAGTGAATTGATGCTCCTCAACTCTACCTCCCACTCCCACCCCACAACATATCTCTACTCCATAGCCAAAGGGATCTTTTTAAAAAGAAAAACCAGCTTAAAACCAATGTCTTTCCAGTACACTCTGAATAAATCCAAAAGTCAAATATTACCGCAGAGTAGGCTCTGAACTCACACTAGAGTGGGGAAACT